AATAACATTGCCTTTAGATAACTAAATTAAATTAATGTCCGCCGATTTTTGAAGTAATCTGAACATTCATTGATGTGTACCTGTACAAGCAGTGTGTATATTTTTATGAAGCCTTCGTCCAAACGAACAATATAATAAATCTTGAATGAATTAACTAACCCCTCAGTACACACACATTCGCCTACACCTGAAATCTAATCAAAATCAGATCTTTTTTACGGCCCGAAATTCTGATAGTCGCTGTATTTCTAATCTGATTGACTATACATGTACAGTACAGGCAACGCGGATCCCGTATTTCCCGCGCCCCGTCGCGGTACAAACACAACGCGGGATTTGGCCAGGTGAGACAGGTAAACCGCGTTCCCTCCGCGGGAAATTCATCACCTACCTGTCCCCGCCGCGGTTAAATCATCGATCACCTAGTATCGTAACAAACGGGAGTTATCTCCCCGAACAGGAATTTTGCGAAATTCCCTCTTTAAAAAAACAAATTAAAATCCCGCAGTGTATGTATATTTATGAAAGTATTTTCTTTTATTTCGCAAAAGGTGAAAATAATGAATGAACAAAAAAAAAAAAAAAAAAGAATTGTAAAGCAGAATATATTTAATCTTTTTTTTTTTTTTTTTTTTTTTATTTATTATTATCAATTTTGTTAAGTTATATATCAATACTAAAGCGACATCTTTTTTTAAATAGTATCAAGAAAACTATTTATAAGCTGAATCATTTGAGAGTTTAACGTGACAAATTTTAATGTCGGAAATATAAGTTCTAATAACTTCTCTTTTCAAATTATATGCGAACTGCAATGTTACATACACGTGCTAAACAATAGTCAATGCGAGTTCCGATTAACAGTTTTCAGCATTTCTATGAGGAAAAAAATATATCTATATACTGTTCATGTTTTTTTTTTTTTTTTTTTTTTTTTTTTTTTTTAACCAAATTTAGAACAATATAATTCATTTGAATAATTTCACTTTACTGTATTAATGTACAAGCATTTCCCTGAAATTGTCGAATGACCGGAAAGCTGTAATATTCGATGGTGAGTGTTTGCAGTGAGTGGGCGCGTGAACGTTATAAAAGATATCAATAAAATATAACAATATTTTTTTCCTCGATATTTACTTCTTTTGTAAACAGTGGTTTGTTTTTAATTTAAACATTTCTCCAATTACAGAAGATGGAATGTGCATGGTGATGAACTTCACAAAACAATTAAAACGGGGGGGGGGGGGGGGTTATATCACTAAAACTTATTATTCTCAATAATACTCAAGAAAAAAATCAATGCCAAGTTTACTTGAATATATTCTGTTTCTTTGTGTATTAAGTATTAGTCGCGATCATTTCCTGTGTATAGGGATTAGCAGAGCAAGAGCAGGAAACGGCATGCCCTAGGGGTTTCACAACTGTCCTAGAGTACCTGTGGTAAATTTCTCTGCATGTGCAAGGCGTTGTCTAGCCATACAACACACCAGTCCCTTCAACGTTTCATTATTTCATTATTTCTTCATTTTCAAATGTAACTACAACCATGAAAGTTACGCGAGTCAATATATACTTTTTTTTTTTACCCTGAGTGTATATTAAAAGGAAAAAGATCAATCATACTTTTAAAATAAATTAATAGAGTTTAAAACGAAATAAAATAGATCAAATCAAATTATGTTTTATTACTTTTTTTTTAATGCCGACGGGCTTGGTATTTATGTTTCTGTTTAATATATATGTACATGTACATGTGCATGTATTATGCAAGTAGAATGTAAAGTTTAAAAAAACGTACAGAATGTTACGGCACGTGCAATGTTTTTCCTTCGGTCAGTTTATTGATTTATCGAGTCCATCGATTAAAACAAAATATTCATGATATTGCTTCTGGATTATTTTTTTTTCAGTTTCAATATGTCGTTTCTGTGAACAGATAATATACTGTAGCCGATTTATCAGTTTATTGTCCAGTTGTGGACTTTGACTAATTCTACGATCAAGTTTCTGAAAAACACCGAAATAGTGACAGCCACAGACACTATTTAAGGTCTTCCGTTTAAATAGCACGATTAAAGACAAAAATATCTACCGAAACAAGATCATCGTCGCAAGCCACGGGTTTTGTGTCCCTTCTATTTCCACAAACCCGTGGCTGCCTCCTACCAAATTCTCTCGTTCTCGCGACTGAATCATTGATGATTTACCCTGACCAATGAAATCACTCTGTAGCAATTTTTGGTACGCTTAAATGGCGGCGCCCATAATGAAATCATGTTTGCTATGCGTGGCAGATTTCTTGAAAAAAAATACGATAGATCCTGAAGAACAGATGTGAGTAACGTATATTCTAAAATACTTACAAGGTTTTACATTAAAATACAGGGTTTCAAATGTAGAGGTTGTGTGAGAACGCTGAATAGCGTCACTCGTTAAGAAAGGAAATTCGAACCGAAGTTGATGTACAGCTCGTGGTTATGGTTACATCCAAATACAAGATAGACATCATTTTCATTGGTTCTGACTTGAAGCGTCAGATGTTATTCAATTGGTTGAATTATATTATTAATATTCATGAGAACGAGAGAAATTTGAAGGAGGCAGCCACGGGTTTGTGGAAATAGAATGGACACAAAACCCATGGCTTGCGACGATGAAACAAGATATAATAACATATTTTGGTGACATGTGGTAGGTACATGTATATGATATTTTAGGCCCGATATCCAAGAGGGGTCCAGTGTTAACAAATGGAAGTGACTTACCTTCTCTATTTCATAATACCACGGGTATGATTTTTTAATAAAACGTTAATTCTACGTTATTTTCATGGATTTTTCATATGGAATACATTGTAAATGTGTACTAGAAGATTAATTTATGGAAAAAGACGAATAAAAATATTCTTGGACCCCGGGGTGTATATTGGGGGGGGGGGGGGGTCCTGTCCACAAGCACCGGTCTCATCCAAAGGATCGATCTCCACGTTTTACTACTTATCCAAACTGGGCATAAAACATTCTCAATGAATTTTTTAATCATTATGCTGAACCTAACAAATTATTCCGACTCGCTGTGTGATCTGAAAAAAACATGGCTGAACTTATCCGTTCAGAAACTCACAGACTGGTATTGCTTTTAACCAGTGTGTGTTATGGCCTTGATGCAAGGTCATTTGGTCGAGTCAAGGTCACTGACAGAGAAACTGTAATTTCGCTACCGTATTTGTACTAGTGAAACATTGCTGGTATCGTGCAGAGTGTGACATGGCCTTGACTCAAGTTCAAGGTCACTAAGGATAAGATGTTTTGACTGTATGTATGGACTAAAAGAACATGACGTGTCACTGTGAACTTTTCAAGTCGGTAACATACAGATTGGGTTTTATGACGAGAGTGTGTCATGGTTTGATGCAAGGCATTTGGAATGTTCAAGGTCACGTACATTCCTTTACAGTTTTTCCTAGCGAAATATTGTAAGTTGCTTCCCCTTACAAGATTGCTTACATGTATAACTTTAGAATGTGGCATGACCTTGACTCAAGGTCACTTCTTCCTTCCGCAGCTTCAACGGAAGACCTATTCGTTGCTTTGCAACGAGCTCGCTCTAGTTAATCTTATATTGCTACTTATTAAACAGTACATTTTTCAACAAGCAAGAAAAAACCAAAATATAACTATCCAAAATATCATTAAATACTTATACATGTATGTGTATTATAAATTTGAAGAAAAATTATATAAATTTAACAATGAACTTAATGTGTATAAAAGAAGATGGATTAACTGGAACCAGATATTTGAAAACATAAACATATAGATACATTTATGTCATCTACATTATTATTTTAGTATATCTTGTGTATTCATATTTTTTTTAATATTTCATGTTTATTCCTAAAAATCTGTATGTAAGCTTTCCGACCGTGGTGTGTCTGTGTTTGTGTATGTGTATGTATGTTTGTTTATGTCTAAAGTCAATTAAAAAAAAAAAGAAAAAAAAGGAAGAAATTTGTATTATAATATGGGGATTTATCACTCTGTTCTCTTTAGTGATATACTTTTTAAAACACGCAATATTTATGAGATTTTTGAAAATTGTGGAGATTTTACATATTGTTTACGTCAATGTTTGATGAAATATGAGAGAGTTTTGTTTTAATTGAAATTTAATTTTTCACCTTCGTATTTGTCGTACCTTTTTTTTTCTCGCATCGTTCGTCCATCTTCCATGGAACATACAAAAAGAATCAGATGCATATGTATCCATGCTTTCACCCTCTATATTTTTTGTGGAATATCTATTTTTCTGCCATAAGCTGCCATTCCCAAAAATTTCAAATAGTTCTGGGTTTCAAGCACATAGTGATTTGTTAGCAGAATTTTCTGTGATTACTTGCTCATCCACATCCGCGTTGTATAAGTGATTTTAAGTTTAAAATTAATTTGATATGAACAAAAAATCTCAATGGACATTTTTTTCACCAAAATAAATTTTTCATACAATTATTTTTTTTCATGTTTCGTCCTGAGTGGTATCATGCAGATTTTTTTTTTATTTTACGTAGTAACAAATTTCCCCATGTAATTTCAAACATTGCAATGTTTCTTTTTTTTTCTTTTCTTTTTTTATTTGTGTGTTAAAATCTACTATATATGTCAACAATAACCAAACAAACTTAAATGTAGAATTTAACATTTGTCTTAAATCAGATGTTTAAAGTGCCATTATTTATTCAAGAAACACGCTATCCTCAGGTAAATTTTAAAGTGACGTTTATGTCCAGTACATTTGAGAACACCATAAATTCAAATTTACATTTGCATCTGTGGTTCATAACTATTGATTTTATATATTCCATTAGTAATTTAAATTTTTAAAAATCCCAGGTAGATGAACTTAAAAAGAAATTCCTGAGTTGAGCAAAGACAATTGCCTATAATTTTTATGGAGGATGGATAGGCATTATGAACCAAGTTATTTGTATAAGAGACCGGACGATGGCTCATGCTAAAAATGTTATTGTCCTCTTGGCAGTGCTTTTAGCTGGAGAATGTAAGTACATGTATATAATATTTTTCATTTGAATTCAATTCAATAGTTAGTGACCCCAATTTATTAATTTTTCAGTAACATTGAAATTGATATACTTATTTACCATCAATAAACATAATAAATCATAATATAGTATGATTAATATTGATTTGACTCTTTATTCTTTTGTAAAGAAAATTTAGAATGAAATGTAAATTAAATGGACTTCATTTGAGGGGAGTGGGGCACATAAATTACATTAGAACTTGGAGAAATGATTAACTTGGGTCGTTTCAAATGTGTGCACACAGGCACGTTTGTGTATGTATATGAGAGTTAAAACCATGTAATGTAAAATAAATAATTTATCATATGGTGTTAAAGGTGTTTTAGCCGCTGACCCTAAAATTATTAACGGTCCCTCCGATGTCACTGTATTTGTCGACGAAAACACACCAATAGGAACTGTAATCTATGACGTGGATGCCGAGATTGCCGATGGAAAGACACTCGAGTATAAATTCATTGGTGGAGGTCCTGGAAAATTCATAATGAATATAAATAATGGAGAACTTTCAGTATCTGGCACATTGGACTTTGAGGATGTTAATCGTTATCAATTCATTGTTCGGTACGTATATATTATTATTATTATAATTATTGATGTGAATTAAATACACTGCAATTACTTTTTTGTAACTAAGACAGAGTTTTTCCGTCATGAATGGAAAAAAAAAATATTAGTAAGCCAGCTCACAAAACGGGGATATCAGAAACAGATCTAGAAAATGTACAGAAAGTGCAGAAATCAAAAAATCAAAAAACAACAAAAATATCATTGTAATGCTTATCCAATAATAGATGCATCAAGGAAAAATGTAAATTTGTTTCAAAATTTACTTGACCCAACCACAAAACTAGTATAGTTTTGTTTTGTTTTTTTTGCCGAGTATGAGGCTTTAGGTAGATATCGCTCTATGTCTGCATATGCTTATCTGAAAATAGATGTCAGTATTAAAATTTCATCTTTCAAGCTTAATATTTTTCTGCATATAATACCACTGCTTAACAAATGTAGATTCGTTCTCAGGACCAAATTAGAAAGCTTTTTTTCTGGTATTATTGAAATAGTATGGTAATATTGTACTGCATCTTTGACAGAACTCCATTATTTTGTATCTGTTTGTATGGATTTTCTTTAAAAATATTCATATAAAACATGTCCAAGTGAATGTTTTTACTTGCTTCAAGATTTTGGAGCCTGTCTGTACAAAACTTACCTACATTTTTCGGGCGATTGAACAGAATAAGTTTTTGAAGCAAGTTGATTCCAAAGTATCAAAAATCTTACCAATATCAAACCTGCATTAATTTTGGATCTAAATATGCACACTAACTGAATATTAAGTTAATGTATACATGTGAGAATCGGGATCGGGATTCCGAAAAGAAACACACCAAAAATTCTGTGGTAAATACATGCAATACTGTCAAATTAACTGATATTAGGACAGTGGCAACATTTAAAATGTAGCAGAAAATAGAATAACTCTTAAGTATAAATGAAAAAACTGTCCATATGGCGAAAATTACCCTAAAGGATTGAGAAAACAACCAAGCAAAATTAGTACACGAACGGCAGCAAAAATGAAAAATGGCGGTTTTCATTAAAATAAGTAAAGCAGACGAAGACGTGATCATGAACTTCTTTTACTGGGACTCGGTCCTAAATACGGCATATCATTAATTCCCAGATGTGCCAAAACTTCCATCTGGAAAAAGCAGTTCATGCTGAGCTGGAAATGTAGAAAAAACCTATACAAACCAAACGCAAAAAAGGTGACCTTCAGGGTACAAGACAAAAAAAGCTTGATGAACTGTTTGAAATGTTTAGTTTACAGATATCACTATCAGTTTGGTGAAAATAAAGGAATTCAAATGCGAATGGAAGTGAAAGATGGAAGTGAGGAATTAATAGACGAAGTCCTAGTTAGATTGTCGTCTGTTAATATAAAAGGCGAAGAGATCGAGAAAAAAATCATTACTATCAATGTATATTTTTCTACCCACTTGATCACCGTTAAGGGAAACAACTACCTTCATTGGTTAGATGACGAATTTCCACACTTAAAATTTGTTGTGAAAAATATGTCGACACAAGAGAACTCTGAGACAAAACTGAATAACTTCTCGATGTATCGGCTAAATATGATGAATTCCATTCATTTTTTTGTAGTAATAAGAAAACGTTTTCAACACCAAGAATCATCTCTTCAAACACTGTCAGCTTACCAAATAACACTCAAACCATAGAATCAGGTATTTTTTCAAGGTTTAGCACCTTGGACAGAAAGATTGATGTGTTCAATAACAATCTTTTGGAGAAAATAAACAACTTGGAAGAAGTTATTTTGAGAAATAGCCAAGAGAACGAAATTAATCGTAGTGTTCTTCGATCGAGAAATAAAGAACTAGAAAATAAAAAGACTACTTACTAACAGAAATCGGAAAAATGGAAGCGAAAATCAAGGAACTCAAAACAGAAATAAGCAGGTTCAAAGAAGACAAAAAAATGAGAAAGAGCAGCAGAAGGAAAACAAAAATGAAGAGAAAGTCAATGAAATGAATGTGATGCTGGAAGAGAATACCAATGTTAAGTGTCAAATTCCAACCGCAAACAGATATGAAGCCCTTTCAACTGAGATTCAATGCACCAATCAAGATCGCACCTATCATGTGAAACACCAAAAAATAAACAAAATCTGCCTATTGAAGTCATCATGGACTCCCATGGAAAATGGTTAGACCCAAAATGGATGTACAAGAACAAAGAATTAAGAATAACAGTACTTGGTGCAGAGATAAAGAACATCAACAGGTTGGAGAGAATACTCGAAAACTTATCCGTGAAATCGCATATAATCCTCGATGTAAGGGTATCTTTGAATCTGCGAAATCGGGTATAAGCAGTGTATTCACTTTATAAAATTAAAACATTGAGATGGCACATATTGCCGAGTCAATTTTCGCCTAGAAATGAATATAACGCAAAGGTATCTGCGGTAGAGAAAGAATTTCGAAGTCTGGTTTAATGCGCACATGGCAACAAATACTCACGGAGGATAGCACGTTTCACGTTCTGCAACAAAACAAGTGATCATTCTTCTTTATATTTTGTACATGGTCATGGTAGCCTAGTGGTAGGGCGTTCGCTTTGTGATCGGGAGGCCCGGGTTCGATTCTCGTTCGCCGCGCCGCTTCAAACCTAAGACGTAAACATAGGTAGTGATTGTTCCTTCGCCAAGCGCCCGGCATTAGAAGTGAAAGTCACGGGTCTTTCGGATATGACCTTAAAAACCTAGGTCCCGTGTCACGGTAGGAGTTGGCACGATAAAGAACCCTCACTGTTCAATGGTCCTAAGTGCCGAGTATAGGTCTAAATTTGAAGCCCTTCACCGCCATACGGACACGTCTCTATATGAGTGAAAAATTCTCGAATGGGACGTTAAACAATATACAATATATTTTACACAATGTTAAAAGTATTTGCAATATCTTCAAGTTAATACCCTACACTACTGAACTACAAAATACTTAAAGTCTGGGCTCTATTATACATGTGTATATTAATAATGCCATAGCAATGCAACAAACATAAACCATTTGCAAATAATTCCATTTATATGGAAACACATTTCACACAAAATAATTTTCCATATCAACAAGCGAAGGGAAAGATTTGTCTTTCATATCTTAATATGTGTATATAATTTATGTAATATATGTATATGTGTATTAAACATTATATAATTCTATATATTATTTGTCTTCATATTTATATGTTGCTTAAAATCAAATTCATAACAAAATGTGTCAACTATTTAATGGATAAAAATTAGAACTAAAACTAGAACTAAATAACAATACAATTTTATGAATTATTTAAAACAAAAATTCAAATAAGATTACTGCGATTTTGTTGTCATACATGTATTCGCCTTATAATTGTCGCACATAAACTTGCTGGCACGCACTTTTCATGTAGTATTTCCCTCCCCCTCCCCTCGAATTTTTTCTCCAAAGATAATGTTTAATATTAAAAGGTTCATTGAAAAACATTGCCTAATTCGCCTCCCCCACTTTTTTGATGGATAGTAAAATTCCCTTATCCTAATGCATTTTATTTTTTCCCTTATCAAAAGTGTTCGAAGAACCCAATCCAACGAAATATTGTTTTCAAATCTGGACATGTTTCTCCTCTCCCGAATTTTTATCATTAATAATATTTTTTTTCAAATAGGTTTAGGAGAGGAGTCAATTATTTTGCTAGCTGAACCCCTCCCCCCCCCCACACACACACACATGTTCAAGAACGATATTACGTGTCTTAACTTGTACTAGTACAGAAACAAGGTGAAGATAACGAACAACAATCGATCTCAAAATTCTTATTAACAAGAATCCTCTGTTGACCGGTCATTCCCGCCGTGAGACTGATGTATTTTATCCACTGAAGATAGTCTTCACATACAGACATTTTCAGTAATTAAATGATAAAGAATATCATATTGCTGTCAAGGAAATGCTTAAACATTTGTCAATATTATTTAATTTTTCATAATCTAACTTTAAAATTGAAATTTCATTTGTACCCAGTATGCCTAAAAAACATCTTTGAATCATTCTTCAGCTTTATTTTTGGTTGTAAAAACTTACATGTGAAAAGACGTGCAAATAGTTTTTTCTTCATGGCAAAAAGAAAGATAAATAAAAAAATAAATAGGGAAAAAATAATACCGGTAATTTGATGCAAAATACAAAGCATTTTGAGTTTTTAGAAGTCTCAGCGTGGGGGGGGGGGGAACTCTCACCCCCCTCCCCCCCCCCCAAAAAAAAAAAATCGCTAAACTCGAAAAAAAGCTATTTTCAAGATGTGGGGTGAGATTTTGACAAGTAGAATTTTTTGTAAGGGTTAGGGCTTTAGAGAAAAATTGACAGGCAAAAAAAAATTAATTTATTTTAAGATATAATTAAAAAAATAATAATATAGGAAAAAATACACGGACTGCATAGATAAAACTCAAAAAAGGAGGGGGATCGCCTTTGAATAAAACTTTTTGGTCATATATAACTAACAGTAAACGTACATTCTCAGAAAAAAGAGTGTGAGGGCTGTGCTTATACATTATGAACAATACATGTATACATGTATATAACATGCATCTAAGTATTTATTCAAGTAAATATTTGGAATTGTAGAAAAATAGTACATATAGTGACAATTTACATAAAGTGTGTATCTTACACAGCCCCATTTTGAGGGGTCTTCCTAAGAATCATCAATGAATATCGGGTGAGAAATTAACCCCCTCCCCCAGATAAATTGAAACACAAAAACTATCACTGAATATAAGGCAATTTTTGAAATTATAGATCTTTTATTAATAACTTAATATGTATTTCCTATCGATGCATTAAACAATTTTTAGTTGTGTTCTTTCTATCAACCGCTTCTTCCACCGATGATAAAATTTGATTTTATATATGCGTGTCATAAAATCTTACATAACCCACTTGTCCATGCAAGAACTCTTTTATTTTCTGCTTTACGGATGTCCTTGTATAATTCAATATCGATAGGAAACCGTCAAAAATTGTTTCTAGCATCATCTGATTTTTAGCGGGAAAGGGACATTTTAAAGTATAAAATAAATAACACGCCGTGAGTCGTTCATTTTCTTAAAAGTTTTATCTTTGTGAATAATTTACAAAACTAGAAATAAAGTTTGGGGAATATATTAGTGGAAAATAAGTCAAGTAACATGCAATCATTTAGTTTTGGTATAATGGCATTGAAAAATAATGACGCTGTCGTGTCTTCCCTGCAATTAATGTATTACCTCCTACAGAAATATCAGATCATTGCCTTAAAACTGCAAGTATTCATATGCACACAAATGTGTTTTGTAATGAGAAATATAAAATGCGTTCTTTGAAGGGGGAAATATCATTGGTGAAGATACTATTAACAAGGAAGAAACTAAAAATCAAATACTAATGTTAGATAATTTACTTGACCAAATATATAATGATAACACATGATTCAAATGATCTTGTCGATAAACTATCAAATATTATAATTAATGCAGCTAATAAAAGTGTTCCATTTAAACCTGCAAAATTTACAAAATCACAACGAAAAAATAAACAAAGACCAAAATGGATGACTACAGATGGCCTACTCCTACGAAAAGAAGTTAGAAAATTAGGGAAGAAAGTACACAAATATCCAAACAATTGTGAACTAAAACTTGCCTTTACAAATTGTGAAAAGATTAAAATAAACGAAGAAAAAGTCTTAAATCAATTTTTTTACAATAGTATTGCAGAAGAATTTAATTCTCTTTCACCACAAAACTCCAATAAATTTTGGAATAAGATAAAAGAAAATAAATCAAAGAAAACTAATGCAGAAGCAATTGGAATTTCAGAATGCGTTGATCACTACAAATCTTTACTGAACATCCAAAATACTGATGAAGAGAGCTTGAAATACAAGTTAATGAACTAAATACTGAACCAAACCATTAGACTTTTTGTTTACTCAAGATGAAATAGAACAAAGCATGAAAAGCATGTAGCTGAAAAATGGTAAAAGTGCTGGGCCTGACTTAATTTTAAATGAGTTTATTAAAACAAACAATACTACCCTTTATCAGTTCTTACAAGACTGTTTAATATTTTACTTAAAATGGAAAAATGCCCAAAGAATGGAACCTTTCACTTATTACTTTCACTTATTGTTTAGGAAAACATTACAGGCCTTCTACAGAAACGCTTAGATAATTATCTCGAGTCAAATAACCTACTAAGCCAATATCAATCTGGATGAAGAAAGGTCATACGACCACTGACAATATATTTATACTAAAAACACTTTTAAACACATATCTTTATACAAAGTAACAGAATTTATATGTGTGCTTTGTAGATTTTTCAAAAGCATTTAATTGATACGAACTGAGTGGAGATCTGCACTTTTATACAAATTGAGTAAAAAGGGTATTGGTGGTAACTTTCTCAAACGTTTGACTGACATGTATATAAATACATACTATTCTTGTAAAAAGGACAATCAAATGAGTGAAAATTTAAAGCCAATAGAGGAGTCAAACAAGGTGATAAAATAAGTCCAACACTTAATATCTTTGTTGATGATTTTGTGAATTATTTTAAGAATGTAAGGACATATACTATGCCAATTAATCATAAGTTTTTTTTGCTGACGATCTCGTCCTTGTATCAGAATCAGAAATTGGTCTAAAAAACTGTATAGATTTTTAGGAAAATATTGTTCAGACTGAATATTGTGTGTTACAGTAATATGGGGAAAAAAACCCAGATGTTTTGTTTTCATCATGTGGATTTTATTACAATCACCAAATGATTAACATAATTAATGAATATAAATATTTGGGTGTTGTGTTCAGGTCTGATGGAAAAATGAAATTTGAAGCTGAACAACTATCAGAACGTGCTAGGAAAGCATATTATGCTATTAAATCAAATTTTCCTGGAAATATTAATTTTTGAATAAGCTGAAATTATGTTGACATTATATCAGTCAATGATAATATACAATTAATTACCCTTATGAGGTCAACATGGTAAAATAAGGACCCGAGACCTGGCCCACGAGGTGACCTGACCTGACCGAGGCCGCGTAGCGGCCGAGGTCAGGTCAGGTCAGCGAGTGGGCCAGGTCGAGGGTCCTTATTTCACCATGTTGAACTCATAAGGGGTAATCAATTGTTTTATTATACCGATATATGTTAAGGCAATTTTTGTAAGCTTAATTACTAAAATAATCAATTACAAGTATAAGACCTACGAACTATTATCAGTGTTCCATCGGGATCGGGATTCGCTAGTGAAGTTGTTTACTTTTCGGCTGCCAGTCTTGTAAGTTTTTGCACCGCCGATTTATTAAAACACTCTGTGATTGTCAGTAACATTGCATTTTTATAAATTCACAGATACCATTCCCGACTACAATGACAATCTGGTGCAGACTTTTACTGTACAAGAGAGCCGAGTCTGCGTTCGTTGAATTTGACATTGTATTGTAACGAAAGTTAATTTCAATGAAAACGATAAATGTCGCATCTAAAGGCCAATCGTGTTCCGTATCCTAAAAATACTATACATATTTTTATAACGGCAATTTTTGTAATGTACAATCATTACTGTATGCATATTTTTTTTTTAATTTGAATGGAATTTGGATTAACAGGTCATTTTTAGCGTTCATTATACCCCACGTGCAATGATTCCTAGGTCATTATGCTGTAAACGGTACTTTTTGGAGTCATTATTGAGTTTAAAAGCCTTCTAACAAGCCAATCAAATTTGAGTATTCTTAATAGAGGTATAATAATACCAATTATCACATATGGATCTAAAATATGGATAACTGACTTCAAATGTGATTTAATATCTTCAGACCAATTTCCTTTTGAAAAAAAAAAAAACAAAAAACAAAAAACAAAAAAAAAAAACAAACAGAAAACTAATATTTAAAGACATACAAATGTACTAGGGGTACATACAAAAGGCATCAAATCTTGCTGTTTTATGTGCATTTGATCGTTTTCCTTTGTACTATTAATGTTATGAATATATGTTTAAATATTATAAGAGACTCAAGGAAATGGAATGCAAACATGATTATAATAATCATTTAGTGATTTCTGCATTTAAAGAAGACAAAAAAACTTGTATCTACAATATCTTGGCAAAGAAAACTGTCTTCATTACTACAAAGATTAAATATCACTTCTTTGGATATTTCTCACACAACCTTGAAAAACAAATTACAAGAGCATTACCAAAACAAGATACATGAACAACTGAAAAATATTAGCAATTTAGACTCTTGAAAGTTTGCTTTTTATAGCAAAATTGTGATTGAAATGAATACAAATTGCAAATTATTTAAAGCTACCTTTGAAAAAAAGATATAGATCTGTATTAACAAAATTAAGGATCAGTGCCAATCCATTGTATATTGAAACGGGTAGATACTGTAAACCCCCTATTCCTAGAGAAAAACGTCTATGCTATTCATGTAAATTGTTTATTGAAGATGAAAAACACTTTGTTCTATACTGTTCAAAGTATGACCAATATAGATGTAAGTATACTGATATATTTAATGTTAACACATAAACTAGTGTTAATCTCATTAGCAAAATTGTCAATCCTACAAATTTTACAACTGCTAGAAGGATATGTTTTTTTCTTGAAAAAAGTGCTTTGACTCCAGAAAAAAAAGTCAGCAATGACTACTTAGAAATATGTGAATATACTCTACAGTAATTTGTTTACCTCACATTTTTCAATATGTAAATACATGTACTAATCGTGTTAATTTGTTTTATGTTATTATTGTTCATGACTGTATGCCAACATGGTTATTGTCAATAAAGTGAATTGAATTGAATTAAAAGATCACATTCATTGGAGGTGTTCTTTGCTTACCTATATTTTTAAACAGAAAAAAATCATTTTTTGAAAGAAGAAAAAAGATAAACGTTTTGTTTGAAAGATATTAGAATGCAAACCGAGGTAAATTGTAAATTTCATTATTTTGATTACCGGTACATCCCCCCCCCCTCCCACAAACACAAAGCAATAATAAAACAATGAACGTATTAATATATCAAGCAAATCATCCTTCCTAATATAGGTATGATAACACGGTGTGCATACATGTACTAAACTATATTTAAAAAGATGAATATCAATTGATCTGACATCTCAACATTCGTCTTTTTGCTGCTCTTTGTTTTGTACAGTTGTTGCATAATGCCATCATCACTGTTTTTCTATTCTAGTGTTACAGAGACAGGTAAAATAAATGGTCCTCTTGTGGGCTTCGTGGTCAATATTTTACCATTGAACAAATATGCGCCAGAGTTTACTCCAAAGATATTAAGAGTTAATATCAGTGAAACCTCTCCCTCGGGTAAAATTATATTTAAACAAAATTTGTAATGTCTGAAATTTATGTATTAAGACATTTATATTTAATCCCAGTATCTTTCTTTAAAATTTCTTTGCGTAATTTATTGCATGATTTTGCTTGAAATTGAAGTCAGTTTTTAAGAGTAAAATCTGATTCATTTTGGAAATCTTAAATATACTTATTATTGATTTTAGGTTTTTTCTATGAACAATAGCATGCATTTTTGCACTGTAGATTCTGTTGTTGCTGATTTGACCTGTATTGACATAGACAACGGGACCAATCCTGGATGTACTACAATATCCATATTATTTGGGGATGATACAATACCAAAATTCAAGGTTGTCAATAACCAGATATTGACAACCAGCACTCCCATAGACTATGACACCATGACGGCTAAGAACTTCCTCTATAAGCTCGTTGTCATAGCAACCGATACCCCATCAGTAGGCAACCAGAGAACAGGAACAACGACTGTTCTAGTTAACGTAGTACCTGTCAACGAGTATGATCCCTCCATCAGTGGACAACCAATCAGATATAAGGTAAAATTTCTTTACGTAAAACTTTACTTGAAAAAAGAAAAAAAAAAGAAATGTGTACATTTAGACTTTTTAGTTTCTGATTTAAATATAATACAGTAGAATCACCATTGTTCATGGGTCGTCAATGTTGGTGGATTTTCGGTCACACTTTCCAACGAATATACATCCCCACGAACAATAATTTTGTCAACCTATTGATTCAAAGAATCTACTGTTTATTTAAAATACCCTCAAAATTATAACCATGAGCCAGTAAAATTTTTGTTGCTAGCGAACATTTTAAAGAAGGAATGTTCGTGTCAAGCATGCCAACACTTTGTTTCATGAAAATCATAAAATTTCATGAACGTCTGTAAATAAATCAAGCATCTAGATGATTATTATTTTTATGAATATTTTCATGCCGCGAAATACCCGGTAAATAAAGCGGGGGCATAAAGTGTTTGTCGTGTCCGTCTTAAGTCTTTCCGTCCATCTATCTTTCTGTCACTTACACTCTCTGTTCAGCTCAAATTTAAAGAAATTTTTCAAGATATTTAAACCCCGATTAATGCATCGGTGCATACTGATAAGAGCTATTTAACTGTAGCATATTTCTTTAACCTTAATATTATTATTGGGTATCTTCTGTTAAGGTCATTTTTCAAGTAACTACTCAAAATATTTTAACAAAATTCATGTACTGAAATACATTGAAAAGATTCAACTCTAGCATAATTTTCCGACCTTGACATTTCCCGTGACATTTATCTTTATATTCTAGTTTTTTTCTTTTTTTTTTCTTTTTTTTTTTAAATTTAAAAAGTTTAAGTACAAGTCTCTGTAAGAATCGAGCAAAAGGTGAATCATGAGTGTTCTCAGAATCAGACGATTTTCAACACAAAGATTTCTCTTGCGCTATAAACCATGTATGCAAAGTGAAAAAAGTTTTGGGTCATGGTTACTATGGAAACATGGCTTAAGAAATTTCCCTATGTGTATGGACAAAAAAGTCACTAATATTTAGGGTTTGAAATTGATTGTGAATATTTAAGAATTTCTTCTTTTTTATTCTTATCGTAAAGACAAACATTTAAAGTGTTTTCACAATGCATTACATAGAAATGAAAATTTGAGATATATCTATACTAGACATTGGCAGATATGCATATTTTGTTGGTTTTTTTTTTTTTTTTTTTTTTTTTTTTTTTTTTTTTTTTTTTTTGCTGATTCAGCATTTTTGTTGATTTTGGTACTATTCAAGGCCTTATAACTCAAACTTCTGGCGTAATACAGGAGTTGTGAATATTTCGCATAAAAGCAGAGGAATGTCTCTTTTGGACTTTAAATTCAAAAAGGTGTTTTTTTTCTGAAAATTCCAATCCGTTGCCTAGCAACAAAAATGGATGTTTTGATAAATAAAAATGAAAAGTCGTACAATGTGAAAACTATCAATCTAATAAACTGTTATCTGAGAGTACAAAAACACAGTTTAAAGTAAGAAAATATATCTGAGACAATTTTGCAATCCAAGAATTATTGTAAAGATACTTATCTCCATGGCAACAGCAAATTCTCCCTAGCAACAATGCAAATAAAGTCACTTTTGGCACATATTTATGAAAAATGTAAAATATTAATCCACAATTTGGAAGCATATTGCGATTAATCAAATTTGTTTATGTAATAAATGTCTTAGCAAAGTACATTTTTGTAATTTTAACCCATTTTTATACTTTAAACCCTTGGCAACAACATTTGAGCACATAAGAACAAAAATATGTTTTGGAGAGTTAAGAGCAATTTTCTTAACTTTTTTTTTGGCACGCATGGTCACGGATTTTCATGAAACTTTACTCATTAGAATAGTTGCATATATGTTATGTTTGACAACAGAATTTTATATCAATCAAAGTTTGGTTGCTATGTGCCTTGGTTGTCATGGTAACAGACAGGATGATTTCAACAAAATTTAGATTTTTCGGATACTTTGAATCTTTATTGACCCTTCACAAGCACTTAGAAAACCAAATTGGCCATTTACCTATGAAAAAAAACCAATAAACCTTGTTGCCACTTATTATGTAAAGAAAGTTTTTGGAATATATCTCTATATAGGTGGTAACCATGGCTACACTCGGCATACATTTTATATGCAGAAAAGCGCTCAGTATTTTCTTTTTATAGGAGTTACATGACTTTACTTAATCGCCAGTGATAAAGAAACAATAAAAATAGTTTACCTTTTTTAAAGATGTTATAGCAATATTATTCTAACAATTAAGATATCGACGGCCATGATAGCAAATCATTTGTGCCATAGTTATATCCCAGCAAACAAAGATTGAGGTATATAGGAATCACTTTGTCTGTCTGTCTCTGTATTCTATTGTCTGTGCAATCATGATGGGGTCATAACTCGTAATGGAGAAAGATTGCAAGTTCATTTTTGATAAAACGATTGTTTATAATCTGAGGTTGAATTTTGACTTTGTTTAACCCAAGGTCATTTCAGCTAGTTCAAGGTCGTTGGCAGTAAATAGTGTAAAATTTGTGTCTGGTCTATAACTTTCTTATGAAGGCATATCGGATATTGATACTTCATACAGAAATTGTTTAAGACATGTAGGTGTATCATGTTCTCCATTCAATGTCAGATGATAAAGTTCAAAGTCCTTTATAGAAAAATGTATAATTCGTGTCCTGACCACATTTTTTTATGGAGAAATATTGTAAGCTCATGCTTGACAAAAAGATTTATGCCCCAATGGTATGTTCAAACCCTAACCCAAGGTCATTCCAGCAAGATTAAGGTCACTACAAGAAAAAGTTTAAAATATCTGTCCAGACCACATAACTTTGTAATGGAGAATCATTTAGAAGTTCATTTTTAGCATACCGGTAGATTGCTTGTGAACAAAGAGTGTGTCATGGTCTTGACCCATGATAATTCTAGCAAATGAAGACCACTGGCGGAAAAAAAATGTAAAATTTGTGCCTGGTCTTATTTTCTAATGGAAAGTATTGGATGTTCATACTTCATCGAAAAATTGATTATGACCTTAAAGTACGTCATGATTTTGACGTAAGGTCATTTGATCAAGTTCAAAGTCAATTTTGAAAAATGTATACATTTTGTCCTGTAAGAATGGGTATTGGCCAGAACTTTCGTATTGCGATATATTGTAATATTTTTAACTGTATTGCAATATGTATTGCAAAATTTTCAACGAAAATCAAAATGGCCTTTTCTTATTATATTAACTTCCATTTACTTGCAGAATGTACATATCTATGTTAAGTAACCAAAAAGGAAAAAAATCATATTGATTTAATTACAGTTATGCACTGAAATACACCCATACAACAGCTTCTGTCTTACTGTTTGGTTTAACTACAGACCTTTCCGACAACTTTTTTTTTAAAATTTAATGATAGATTTCTCGAGTTTAAGCAATTTGCCAGTATATCGTATTGCAATACGATATGTTTTGTCATTGTATTGCAATATACCGAAATAGCGATATTTTGCCCAGCCCTAGTGTCCTGTCTACATCTTGAAATGATTAAACATTCGAAGCCCATACCTGAAACAAATATTGCTAGTGATTCAGGTGTGTGTCTTCATACTTATTCAAAGTCATTTTTGCAAGGTCAAGGTCGCTTCCGGGAAAAGTGTCATGTTCATTTCTGGTACACAGCTCTTAATTGAAAAACATTGAACGTTCATTGTTCACAAAAATATTACATATCGTCTTTAGGTATGATGTTGCCTTGATCCAAGGTCATTCCGGCAATGTTCAATGTCACTTACGGTTAAAAGTGTAGATATATCAGGACCACTGATATTCTCCTTATTCATTTGTATCAACAGGTATATTTTTGGAATGTTAAATTGGGGACATTAATAGGCTGTTCCACATCACACTGGTGAATAAGCCAATCCATACTTTACAAAAGTTGTGTCAACATAGAAGTAAAAACATTCTAGTCAAATGACAAAGTTACAATCCAGTAAACTACAAAGCCTACTGTGAGGGTTCTATGGGTTTTCCCCAAAGATGGCGGCTAAGGGACATCAGTTTTGAAAAAGCTGGATTCAAGTGTTTGATTTATATAATAGTGTTGTGCTTTGCAATGCACTTTGCCTACATGTAAATATTAGTCAGGATTTTAATTGCTAGTGACCTTGAACTAGCTGAAATGACCTTGGGTAAAGTCAAGATACACCCTCAGATTATTAACGATTTTTCTATCAAGAATGAACTTGTAAAGTTTCCATATTACAAATCATTACAAAGTTATGACCCGGACATGGATTGCACTTACAAAAGGACACAAAGACAGACAGACAGACAGGTGATTCCTTTATAACCCATATCTTTGTTTGCTGGGTAATAACAAATTGTAGTACAATGCTCTGCTTGGCATCATTGTTAGAATAATATTACTAAAACCATTTTTTTTACAAGGTCAAGTATTTTCATTTTTTTATCACTGGCGATTGAGTTGAGTCATGTAATTCCTATAAAAAGAAAATGTTGTTGCCATGGGTTAAAAGTATAAAAATGGGTTAAAATTACAAAAATGTACTTTGCTAAGACATTTATTACATAAACAAATTTGATTAATCGCAATATGCTACCAGATTGTGGATTAATATTTTACAATTGTTCATAAATATGTGACGAAATTGACTTTATTTGCATTGTTGCTAGGGAAAATTTGCTGTTACCATGGAGATAAGTATCTTTACAATATTTCTTGGTTTGCAAAATTGTCTCAGATATATTTTCTTACTTTAAACTGTGTTTTTGTACTCTCAGATAACAGTTTATTAGATTAATAGTTTTTTTTTCCATTGTACGACTTTTCATTTTTATTTATCAAAACATCTATTTTTGTTGCTAGACAACGGATTGGAATTTTCAAAAAACAAACCTTTTTGAATTTAAAGTCCAAAAGAGACATTCCTCTGCTTTTATGCGAAATATTCACAACTCCTGTATTACGCCAGAAGTTTGAGTTATAAGGCCTTGAAAAGTACCAAAATCAACAAAAATGCTGAATCAGCCAAAACAAAAAACAAAAAAAAAAAAACAAACAAACAAACAAACAAAACATGCATATCTACCCATGTCTAGTACAGATATATCTCGAATTTTTATTTCTATGTAATGCATTGTGAAAATACTTTAAATGTTTGTCTTTACGATAAGAATAAAAAAGAAGAAATTCTTAAATATTCACAATCAATTTCAAGCCCTAAAGATTAGTGATTTTTTTGTCCATACACATAGGGAAATTTCTTAAGCCATGTTTCCATAGTATCCATGACCCAAAACTTTTTTCACTTTGCATACATGGTTTATAGCGCAAGAGAAATCTTTGTGTTGAAAATCATCTGATTCTGAGAACACTCATGATTCACTTTCAAACCTACTTTGCCTGAATCTTACAGAGACTTTCACTTAAATGTAATTATTCCAGATATTTTTAACTAAATTCATACACTTTAACATACTGGTAGGAGCTATCCAACTGTTTCATATTTTTCTGAACATGACCTAGACCTAACTAATACTGATTTTGCTTTTAGTAAAATTTAGAACAAAATGTTAATATTTTCATCAAATTTCATAAACTTATACACATTGGTGGTAACTATTCAACTATTCAAGGATAAAATATACACGTTGGTACTAGATTATGTCTAGAATTAAGAAATGAAAGGTAGTTGATTGACCAATGCTGGACAGTGGAGAAATACATCCTCAACCATGCGCAGAAAATCTTGCGCCGTAAATAGCACTTTATTTGCATTAAAGGATCTGTAGCGTTATGGTCAAAGACTAAAATGTAAAACCATAACGCTACAGTTCTGCAGCTAAGTTTTCTGACCTTGATCTTCTCTATAAGTTTTTTAACCAACCTTTTGTTATTTTGCATTATCTTATTTATAAACAAACTGTTCAAAATATTTTGATCAAGCTAAAAACAAAGATAAAAATTGGTAAGAGCAATTCAGCTGTACATGTATGATTATACTTTGATCTTGACCTTTCCTATGACTTTGACCTCACCGTTCCTCATTTTGCATCTATTTAAGTGTCAAGAAAACTGCTCAAGATATTATCAAACGTTGTATACTGACACGAATTGGTGAGAGTAATTTTGAAAAAGTGTGTCAAAAATTCTTTGATCTTTATTTCCCTTATATCCTCAATTTTCACATTTTCCCTCACCTCTGCTCTTTTTATCTTGTTTAATTTAAAAAAAAGGATTACTTAAGAAGATTTCATACATTGATATATCTCTGTAAAAACAGTTTTACCATACATGCATAAATTTGCTAAATATGACATAATGAACTTGAAATAATAAAATTTAATATTACATTTGATGAATCGATCACAGGCCAAAGAAGTAAAGAACATTTTTTACTGTTGAAATACAAATGTACCTTGGGCGGGGCATTGATGTCCTATGAACATATTTCTAGTTTTTTCAAACTGAAAGGCTTGAATGTTGCTTGAATTCAATTAGATTTCTGAAAGTACTCAAGTAGGAACAGAGGTCCTTTCCATGACTGCCACAGACAATGACGCAGGGACCCACGGAGAGCTGACGTACCAGATCACAGGTACGGCTTCCTACCTGATTGAATCAATTTAAATGGAGTTAGAGACATGCACAAAAATATATTAATTCTGATAAACATCACAATGCTTTGAAAATTATCTTTTTTTTTTCAGAGAAGTATATAGCCTCTTATTTTTAAAAACTTGTTTTTCTTTTTTAAACAAATAAGATTGTTTTATGTATTCAGTGACAGTCTTTAAGGTTGAATTTGTATCATTCTTTGTGCATTATCATTTAATCACCTAAATAGAAAGTTTCACGTATACTTTTCTCTCTTTTGTTCACAAAGGGTTTGTCATACAAGTGCCAGTAAGAGAGGTACACCTAAGTTTTTGTCAGTATGGTTTAAAAAAAAAAAAGAAAATCTACATGCATTAATGTATATCTTATATTTTACGCTCTGTTCTTGATAATTTATAGGTGGAAATTCTGAGGACGCATTTTTTATTCTGAAAAAGTCGGGGAAGATACACACAAAGAAAAGACTAGATTTCGAGAGAACGCCATCGTATTCTCTCACAGTAGAGGTCAAGGACGGAGGATCTCGAACTAGTACCGCGGTAGTGGATATCACGGTTACTGACGTCAACGATACCCCTCCCGTGTGTTCTCCAGACCACTATAAGAAAACTGTGGACGAGACGCTACTCATTGGAAGCACTGTTAGTTCCTCTCAAAAGTCATTTTATGTTTGAAAAAAATATCATGATAAACGTGATCAAACTTTGATTATCTCGAGAAATTCAAGTTGAAGTTTCAACGATACTATCTGTTTATTCCGTGCATTTTATTTTAAATTGTACCAGACGAGAAACTAAATTTGCATTTGTTACCAAAACGGAGTCAAAAATCTTTTGGTATTTTTAAGTTAAGTTTAAACGAATAGAATAAAGTTACATTAATTAGTTTATTTATTTATTTAATAATAATGACAATTTAAAAAAAGATAAATGGATTTTTAAAACAGAAAACTGCTATGTATCCGGAAAAGTCGTTGCTTTTGTACCTTTATAGGTCCTTACTCTTTCCTGCTCGGACGAAGATGCCGGAACAAATCTAGGTTATACAATTACCTCCGGGGAAAGCGGAGACCTCGAGATTACACCTAGCGGAGCAGTGAGAGTTAAACGTGGTAATATATCAGCTATATATCCAATCTAGGTTGTAGACATTTAAAGATATTTACCTCGATTTGTATAGAGGTTTAAGTTTCCGATCTCATATTTGAAAACTAAAATATTTTCAAAATCATATATTTTTTTTTTGTTTTTGATTTTCTACAGACCTAGGCTACGATCAGGGACTTTTCGCCTATCTTCTGAATATAGAAGTAACAGACACCCAGCATACTACGTCCGTAATTGTATTGATTAATTTAAATCCTGTTAATGAATACCCCCCTCTGTTGGCTCCACTCTCGGTGATCGTTAGTGAGGATACAATATTGGGGACAGAGATCGCATCATTGACCGCCACTGATCGGGACGCCTCTCCTAACAATGTCCTCTCATTTGAAATAGTGTCAGGTAAAATTTTAACATTTACACGATGCTAAGAATGAGTGATGAAGACAATATACCCGATAAAAAAAACAAAATGGCTGTTGTAATGTTGATTTATATACTATGGAAGCAATATAAGGGGACGTTTAAAGAAAGTATATTTTTACCGAAAATAGACCACTTGCAATTTGTCCCTCTTTTGCATTGCTTTGATAAGTGTCCTTCTTTTCTTTAATGAATTAAGGTGCCTATTTTTTTTCATTTCATTCTGAAATGTGTAGAAATCGTACAACTTTTAATAACATTTGAAAAATTTTAATTTATTATATTGATCGCGACTTTGTCATGGATATTAATTAGGCACATTATTTCATTCAAATTCTACATGTAGATAAGATGTTTATATGTTCCAGTACAAAATGCTGCAGTGGACGCCTTTTTGGTGGACAGTGTGACTGGTAAAATATATCTAACGCACTATTTAGACTTTGAGTCAATCCCTGTTTACAAGATAGTTGTGATAGTAGACGATGGTGGAACTTCAAAGGTATAATTTTTTAACGTTATTTTCAATGGGAATGTTTTATAATAGATATTAGGTCAGTTTCAACACTGTTCAAGATTGCATTTTATCCTCACATTGTGTTTTTTTTTTAAGTTAAAGTTTCGGGTGTGTTCATCATGAGTTTTGATTTTTTTTTTTTTTTTTTTTGGGGGGGGGGGGGGATATGAGTACTTTTGTACTCTGGTTGAGGCACAAATGATCTGTTGATGTTTGGATATGATGTATAAAATGTTGTATAATGAAGCTTGTTTGTTATCCTTATTCAGAGAATTTATTATTCTTATTCTAAAACATATCATTTCTATTCGATAAGTTCTTATACCTTTTGAAAGAAATACATTTATGATTCCTATTCCAATATATATCATTTATATTAAAAAACATGTGTTTCCTATTCGATTATTCTGTCATTTCTATTTGATAATACTGTCATTCCTATTCGATAATTATGTGATTTATTTGCAATAAACTTATTATTCCTATTCGAAAACATATCATTCCTATTCGAAAACAAACTATTCCTATTCGATAATCTTGCTAAGATAATCGAATAGGAATTGCATGTTTTAGAATAGGAATTATATGTTTTTCAATAGGAATAACATGTTTATCGATTATGAATTACTTTATTATCGAATAGGAATGGCAAAATTATCGAATAGGAATCACATGTTTTCAAATAAGATTAACAACAATAGGAATGATATGTTGTAGAATAAGTTACAAAAATTGTTGAATAGGAATAACAAAAAGTAAAATAATGTATATAACGTATTTAGAAATATATATTTTTTTAAAAAAATTCTCTAATGAAATCAAAATAAATGATTTATCGAAGCTTATTTATGTTTCATAACATGTTTTATGTTTAAGCTGTTATATGTTTATCTTTCAAGAACTTCAAATTACGTTTTGTATATATATCATATCCTTTTAGATATTAACTTTAGGATGTGATAAAGGGAATTTTATGCAATGGGCATTTTGATTCAACAGAAATATGATTTTATTGACAGTGGTCTGCAAGATTCACACTGTATTATCATGAAAACTCTTTATATCATTTAATGGACAAAAAGTCACTCTACCATGATCCATGTAGAATTCAATCCCTCGATCAGGGCTAAATTTGGCGGAAATATAAAATCTCTTTGAAACTCTTCTTTATTCCTTGACCTCAGCTGGGAACTTGCTTATGACTGTAAGGAGGAATCAACCCACTGCCAAAATTACTCAAGCTTTCTTGACCATAGAGGGATTCTAAGCTTATCATTTCTTGAAAAGACTTAAAATTCCTGGCGATCTAGCAGTCAAAATTTTTACCTGAAAAAAATATGAATGAAGTATCTCTCTGCCAAAATTACGAAACTCATACATGTAATCCATGGATACAGTGTTTAGGTCTCTGGCTTAGTTGATTCTATATTAGACATTCATCAAGCTTATATTTTTTCTTTATTTTTAGTGCATTACTATGTTTAACAACAAGCCTCCTTCTTTGTTTGTCTGGCTGTCTGTCATAAACTAAAATTCCTCTCCTTGACGCATTTAGTGGCAAACTGTTTTAATGCAACCACTGTTGTAACATTCTTTAAGTAACAGACTTTAGGTCTACTTCAGGGCTGTATGTAAAACCTCTAAAATATCTTAGTATATATTTTATTGTGCAATCATGTTATTACAATACAACACGACACCAAAGAAAAGAAAAACAATCTCTTCTGATCCGTGGTTTACCATATTTGTCACACACTTTGATTATAAAAAGATGGAGAATGACAAGATGTCCAATTTTCAATAATAAAAAGATTGTTCATGACCTGTTGGTCTGTCACAAGAATGATTTACTTAGACAAGGTCAAAGTCAATGAAATATCAAGCACATAAGACACATAAAACAATTAGTTATTGATAAAAGACTTAGCTTGGGTAGTAATACATGTAGCAGAGAAACGTAAGGACATATGCAACGTAGTTTGAACTTTATTGTCTTTTTCCCTAGAGTTGAAGAGTTCCAATGCTTAAGTGAACTGTGTGCTATATTTTAATGTCTATATATGCTGTTGTACATTTCCTCTAAAACAAGTTTGGATAAACAAAACATCTAGAATATATGTTTGGTAATTTTTGTATATTTTTCTTTGAATTATGCAAGAATGTTCATTGATTAAAATCTTTTCAAAACCCCTGGTAATGCATGCTGATTTTTTGTCTACGAACATATGATGACACTATAATCTTAAATTAAGAATATCTTGAAAAATTATCTGTAGGTAAGGTACGTTGCGTATGTCCTTAAACATAAGGTACTGGTGAGTTTTGTCGAGGAAAGAAAGAGAACGTAGCAATACCTTAAGTACATGTAGGCAACCATTTAGACTCAAATCATTAAGTCTGTTATCTTTTTCCAAGTTGTAATATTTTTTCTTTATTACTTTCAAACCTCCATTTGTTACCGCTCATGTGGTTAGTGTTATGTATAATTTCATACATCAATGTTAAATCATTCTTATTTTAGTTTGCAATAAAGAAAACAGATGTCCAATTAATTTGAATACTATTTTCTGTTGAGAGCACAAGTGACTATCAATAAAATGCAAAAATTGGGAAATTAATTCGAACGTTTGATAAAATTGACAATCCTTATGATCGTGTTTGCTTTACCTTTTTTAATTACAGGGAACAGGAACTGTCACAGTATCAGTAAGAAATATCAATGACAACGCCCCATACTGTCCAAAAACTGTCTTTAATATCATGGTATCAGAACTGACGGGTGCGTTGAATACAAGTTACGGAAAAATCATTTCACCATTCGTTTGTTAAAAACTCGTACAAAGAATTTGAATAAGAACATATTGTCATGCAGGAACGTACTAATTCGACGATAAAAGACCATATCCCTTGAAGGAAAACCAAACTTAATTAGTTTTTTAAAGCTATTTTTTGAAAAATTGAAGATTTGTTATATAAAAGTTAAAAATGGCCATAAATTGTATTCTTTTTTGTAGTTATATTGGTGGGTTTTGTTTGTAGGGAAAGATAGTGTGATAATTCCGGACTTTGGCTGCTCTGATCGGGATCTCGATGTTCTTTATTATTCCCTCAACCAAATTCCTAGTGACAATACCTTTGATGTAATTACGGGACAACTTAAACTTAAAGGCAATTAGATCTAACTCATTTACTTTTGTGATTTAGATACAGTTAAAAGAGTCAACTTTAAGACTATAGATAAAATTAACATTACTTGTCCAAGTTGGATACGATTTTGATCCAACTTGAGTTCAATTTTATTGTCCAGGTAAAGAGAATTATTTAAGGAAAGGGGGTAAGAAAAAAAAGGTAAATAGCAAACATATATAATGGTTGCTATCAAGAGGTTATTCTTATGTCTTTAATTTCTTAAATTTTGCATGAGGTGTTTCTTTTATTTCAGGGACCTTGGATTATGAGACAACTCCATTCTACAGTATAGAAATCAATATTGGAGATGGTAACTACATAACAAAACTTAAAGTCGCAGTGAATGTCATTAACGAAAACGAGGGGCCACCCCAATTTATAAACTCAGGTTTGTATAATAAAACATCTTTTTAAATCTCTTGCCAAGTATAATATAATATGAAATGATAAATCACAATCAAATAAATCATATAATCTTTGTTGAAGTTGTGACAAATAGCAAAATCATTTGCATAAAAAGCACTTTTTTGGTTATTTATATAGAAGAAAACAAAAACAATACTAGCATAATTCATGTAAGTCTGCAGTCGTTAATATGCATATTTTCTCCAGATATCAGAAAGTACTTCAGAGAGGATACCGATCCAGGAACTGTTATTGCCATCTTGACGGCTACAGATCCTGATAATGGTGTATTCACCTACAATTTTCGAACAACTTATCAAGGGTTTATACTGGATTCTAAAAGTGGAGAGATTATCCTGACTAAATCTTTGGACAGAGAGAAAACTTCGTCACATGAACTAAATATTGTGGCATCTGATGGAACTAGGTCATCAACTGCGACGGTGCAAATCTCTGTACTTGATGTCAATGAACGTCCTAGATTCAGCAAACCAAATTATGTGTAGGTTATAAATGTCATCCATGGATCATTATAAATTATTGACTCATTATACTATTTACTTTAAAAAGTTATTTATTCAAATAAAGTTCCTAAGTTTTATATTGATTGGTTCCTGTGCCAGATTTTGCAAGAGGTTAAAAAAAACCTTTCCTTCAGATTTCTTCAAATATTCATGGACCTAGTTATTTAAGATTTTTTCATCACATTTTTACTTAATTGTTTTAGAATTAACTTTAATTTTTCAGATTTTCCGTCGCAGAGAACACATTATCTGGACAAAGTGTGGGAAAAGCCTCTGCTATTGATGCTGATACAGGCGGGACTAATGGGTTACTCCGACACAACATACTATCAGGAAACGAAGACTTGTACTTTCAAATAGACCCGACAACTGGAGAGATCACTGTAGCCACCCCACCCGATTTTGAAAACGCCATGTCTATTGTTCTAGTAATCCAAGCTACAGATCAAGGTTTTCCTTCGACATTTGAAATCTGTACAGTCACAATAAACATTTTAGATGTCAACGACAACTCACCAGCGTTTGCATCCTCACGCATACGAAAATGGATTTCAGAAGATGCAAGCGTTGGATTATCGGTCATTCAGATTTTTGCTACAGATACTGACTCATCCTTAAATGGCAACAATAAGTTCACATTTATTTCAAACAACGCGGCCCCTTTCCAAATTGATTCTGACAGTGGCATTGTAACTGTTAGAAATTCTCTAGACAGAGAGACAACAAGCAGGTGAGTCTATTTTTCAACTTAAAATGCTTCTTTGCATCTTTTGTAACGTTAATTGTCCTGCTAAAGTTATTAATTTTCATTGTCAATATTAATATCTATGTTGAAGATACGACATGGTTATAACTGCTGTGGACAGAGGTACCCCTCCTTTGACAGGCTTCCTAACACTGGAAATTTTTCTCACTGATGTAAACGACAATGCTCCATTTTTCATAGGAACATACGACACTTCTATCCCTGAAGATGTTTTGGAAGACACTATAATATTTGTTTTCACTTCCGATGATATTGATGAGGACGGCGGTGACAATTTTAACTATACCATACTATCGGGAAATCTTTACTCTAGTTTTAAACTAGATTCTTCGAACGGACTCTTACAAGTGGCATCGAACTTAAACCGGGAATTGGTGGATAAGTTTGAATTAGTTATTCAAGTAACTGATAGTGGAATTCCATCAAGGTCAACATCTGTGACGGCAACTATCAATATTAAAGATGTCAATGATGAATATCCAGTATTTGAAATATCTTCAAACACCTTTTCAGTCAAAGAGCACACAGTGTCTCCAACAGTGTTAGCCCAGATTAAAGCTACCGATTCTGATGAGGGCTTTAATGCCAAGTTGAAGTACAGCATAGCTACTAACTGGAAAGGTGCATCAGGCATGTTTGGTATTAATGACACTTCAGGGGAAATTTATACAGTCGGTGATTTTGATCGTGAGGTGGAATCAGAGTATTTATTGTGGGTCCGTGTTCAAGATCACGGATCTCCTCCAAGGTCTGCGGAGGTAACCGTGAACATCACAATAGAAGATCTAAATGACAATACGCCAATATTTGGACAAAAAGAATACTCTGTGTATGTGTTAGAAAACCTTGATAGAGGAAGCAAAGTATTATCTACTGGAGCTGTTGATTCTGATGAAGGCTTGAATGGAGAAATAAAGTACGAACTAGATTATACTACACAGGAAGGGTTACTGGCTGACAATTTCTTCGGTGTGCGATCAACTTCCGGTGATGTTATTCTAAAACGCCGTATGGATAGAGAAACATATGATGATTTTACTTTCACTGTTATAGCAAGGGATAGTGGTTCGCCCCCTCAGTCTTCGAAAGTGAATGTGACAATATATGTCCTAGACGTCAATGATAACAGACCACAGTTCTCTCCAGATTTCTATAACTTTGAAGCATCTTTGACGGATTATTGTGATGCGTCTATAACTGTAGTCACTGCTGTAGACAGTGACCTAGGAATTAATGCTCTTGTTACCTACAGCATTCCTGATGATAATACTGAACCTTTCTTGGTCGATGATTCTGGTAAATAAGCCAATTTAAAGTAGGAAATTAGGAAATCCTTTTTTTTTTTTTTTAATTTTCTTTGTTTGATTTCATTTAATTGACACTGAAATGAAATATAAAATATATTAAATTTATTTATTTTGTAGGGAATGTCAAAGCAAATGCAGAGCTAAAAGAAGCAAAATATATAATTGAAATAATGTCCTCTGATAAAGGAGACCCTGAGATGAAGTCCTTAAAGAATGCAATAATTAGAATTGATACATTTAAAGCTGAAAACATTGTCATCACCTTTTACCTTGATATGACATTAGTGTCCTATTTATCAGTTGAAGAGGAATTGATAAATCATATACAGGAAGTGTTGAGGGCGTCTTTTCCAACAGCATATGTAAAAAGGTGGTGCGTAGAGGATAACGTTAGGTAAATTTCTTATAATTGATGACATTGAATAGCTTTAAATACTAAGTTAACCCTAAAGAAAATTCTTTAGTAAATATAACATATTACTTCAGTATCATAGTGTTTCTTTAGTTTGTCAATGAATTTCGAATTATTATGTTTCATGTTCTGTGAGTCTTATATGCGAATTCTTCATATTAAAAGGAAATCCATGTACTGGTTAACAAGTATGCTTACATATTTCCAATATTTACATCACTGGTATGGAATTTTAAAAGATATTTAGGCTCTTAATCTAAAAAGAAGTTCAAGAATAAAGATTCATATTAAATCAAAGTATTTACTAGTAATATATTCTATAAATAATACGCTATATATAGCTACAGTATTTTTTTTTTTTTACCGAATTTTAAACTTCACTTGACCCGTTATGTAACTATTGCTGTGTCATAATCGTAATTGAGATAGAGATTCTGTGAATTATTATCTCATTGTCATCAATAGCAAATTATATCTCAATGAGTTCTTAGTTGAAGTAATATGAAAAAGTATCTAGCCTTTTTTTATTCTTTTTTATTTTCATTTCAGATCGGTGCTTGTTCATGTCTATGCTGTAAAGAGTGATATTACGGAAAATGTAAACAATTTGCATAAAGATAAAAAATTCGTAACAAATGGGGAATTCATTAATCTTCTCCAACTCAATCCCAGTGAAATCCCAACAGTAACGATAAACGGTAAATACATTAAATTATGTTGGGGATATTCCACAAGTAGAATATTCAATTAAGATTACCATTCTACTCGCAACAGTTTCTTTACAATATTAATTTAAAGAATAATAAATCTTACAGAAAAATCATGGGATAAATACAGAATAGAAAAAGTTGTTCCATTTGGCGAGAAGCTCATATTCCCTACGCCTGCTAAAGTAGTAACAACAGAAGAGAAGGACGACTTGGGATTGATTCTTGGGATATTTTTTGGGCTTCTTGTGGCCCTTATAGCAGCTATCATTATTCTTTACTTAGTCTGGAGAAGAAAATTATGTCGAAAGAAAAAGTGAGCATTTATATTACATGTAATTATAATCACTGTTTTATGAATACTTTATATCTGCTAGTAAATGTAAACATGGTATATTCTTACATGTTATGAACATTACAGATACGGACCCTAAAACGTGCAACTTCGCTTTAAAAACGTTTCGATCCTTTACTTGCAAGAAGCGTAACATAAGGATCAAGAAAGGAAACGTATCGTGCAAGAGGCGTATTGTACCGTGCAGGGAACGTGCCGTAATTTGCAGAAAAGGACCGCTAAAACTTTAACATTGCCCATAACTTTTGATTGGTTGAAGCTATGTCTTTCATATTTCATATTTGTATTCCTTGTGACAAGACCTTTTTTACGTACCAACGTTAACATATTGACTTCTTGACGTTGGAGTTTGACCCACTTTTTCAAAATTTTACCAAACTTTAACCTTTGCCATCACATTGAACAGTAGATGCTAGTGCTATCATAATCCACATGTGTATTTTCTGTGAGAATACCTTTCCTTGGGTATAAATAGTTTTGACCTTGCCTTGGAGTATGACCAACTGTTAAAAAATTCACCATAACTTTCAACGGTTAGTATTAGGGCTTTCGTATTTCACAGGTATAGTATTCCTTGTGATAAGACCTTTTTCGGGTACCAGCAATTTTGATCCTTTGACCTTGACGTTGGATTTTGACCTACTATTTAAAACTTTGATCTTGGTCATAGCATTTGAATGGTTTTTGCTAGGGCTTTCATATTTCACAAGTGTATTTTATGTGACAAGACCTTCCCAGGGCACAACTAATTTTGACCATATGATCTTGACCTTGATGTTTGACATACTTCGGAGAAACTTTAACTTTCAATATAACTTTTCGACGGTTTGTGATAAGGCTTCATATTTCACAGGTGTATTCCTTGAGACAAAAATGCTGGTTACCTACATTTTACATCTCTTGACCTTGGAGTTTGACTTTCATGTAAAAAACTTTAACCTTCGCCATAAACTGCAATACGGAGGCACCAGTGTTTCAGAAACACATCTAGTTTAATTCCATGTGGAAATAGTAAGGAACTCGTGAATAAATGGAAATAATATAGATTCCGATGATCTGAAAAATTCGAATGCATGAATGTATCAATAAATTTGTTTTTTACTGATATAAAAATGATTCAAATGTATCATTGAAATTTTTCAAGGTTTGCATAACATGTTGTTTTTTATTGGAATACCATATTAATTTTATATCTGACAGAGACAGTGAAAACACAAAGAGGCCTAGAGTTCAGATTATTGAAATCAGAGGTGTAGGCAGACGAGTGTCCATTGATGAAGAAAGCGAGACAACTGATAACAAAAACCCAATCAACAAAACAACAACAACAACCGTTTCTGTTGTTACTCCCTTCCAACTATCGGGTAAATATTTGCCGCTTTTTTAATTTTCATTAGTAATGTTTATTTACATGTACTTGTTTAATTTTCATTTTTTCTTTAATAATTAATTATATAGAAATATGTTGTATATTCAATTCAATAACTTTTCATTTGCTTTGATGGAATCGTATTATGCGGACTAAATTATCACATAGCTCTTATGTAATGAAAAGCCTTTCTCACTAGATTCCAGATGCTAGCAAACATTCTGCAATATGTATGTTATTATAAGTTTTATTAGGGCCCCGCAAGAATTTGCGGGTGCCCTATAGTAATCACTCTGTCTGTCTGTCCGTCTGTCATTCTTCCGTCCACAAATTTTCTGTTTTTTTTTTTTTTCTAATAGCTTTTTTTAGGGTTGACCAATTAAATTTAAATTTGGTATGTTGGTTGAATAGGCAGTAAGACATATTTTGATACTAAGTTTGGTTCTCTATGTCATCCAGTTTGGAGCTGGGGTGGTGGGGTAGATTCCTTAACTTTATATAAGAGTGAATCGGCAAAGAGAGATAACTGCTGAGAATGTTCCTATTGTAAACTATGAAAGGCTGCAATGAGTCTCTTGGGATTAATTAACTTTTCTCTTGAAGAAAATCCAAAGCATTTATCTTTTTCTGTCACATTGAGATTAGTTAACACCTCTGTTTGCAAATGAAGTTTGTTTTGAAGTTAATATAAGGTCAATTCTGAATGATGTTTACATTCTCTGATATGTGGATTTAAATAATGTTCATATTTTATTTTGTTAAAATACACAATGAGTTATTTATGATTTTATTGAATTCTAAAAACAAGATATAGATATTAAAGATATCTTTTTATAATTATTTTATTTTTTCTTTCTTTTTTCTGCCTTGTGTAAATTCAAGAATACTATTTATTTTAACAGGTAATCAGATAATAACCTCATTCTATTATTGCTAAAAAAGTTCTTATTGTAAATTTAGAAGAGAAGGTTGAGAGAGCAGTGTAATTAATCCCCTGTGATTTTGATTATCTTGCTGGTCGCAGAAAATTTTACAGGGTTATGTTTATGTCACTTTAAGATAAATTAACACCTTTGTCTGCAACTGATGTTTGTTTTGAAGTTAAGGTCAAGCCTGGGTGATATTTGCATTCACTGAAAGCTGGCATTTTAGAAAACACATGCTTCATTCTTCTTTAAATATACATATATTTTTACTGCCTTATGTAAATACAAGGAAACTATTTACAGGTTGTTGGATATTTAGCAGTTGTTGTTGCTTATTCTTCTTTATATATTTTTGTAATCAAGTAAAATTCTCATCCCCTAATCTGCACCCTTATATTTCTACCCCTTGGCGGGGCCCTTGCTGACTGATCAGATTTCTATTTTTTTCCTCTATGTATGAATTCAAACGCAAACTTTTATATGACACCAAATTTATTAAGATTAAATGAAAATGTGGAAGATAACGAACAGTGATTTATCTCCCCCCCAAAAAATACCAACAATACAAATCTGTGAACTAGGCATAGAATAAATTTAAATTAATGTTGCTTATCTATCGGCGCAAGAGACAACCTTACATTAAAATTTATTTCTTGTACACTAATTCTTTTAGGAGAGGGATCGGGTTTATAAAAAGTTCTCTGAAGCTTATATAAATGTCATAAAATGTCAAGAACGGGAATTAAAACCATAATTCCACGGGTTTTATCATTATAGTAAATCAAAGTATCAAAGTTTTTACGTAATAAATCAAAGTTTCAGAGTTTTAACTGTAGTTAATTAAAGTTAATAAAGTTTCAAAGTTTTTACAATAGTAAATCAAAGTTCCAAAGTTTTCACTATAGTTAATCAAAGTTTTCATTATAGTAATTCAAAGTTCCAAAGTTTTTACTTTGATAATATTATAGTTAACTATAGTAAACTATTGTAAACTATAGTTTACTATATTATTTTTTGTTAGGGTAACTACGAAGAAAAACATAATCATTTCGTGTGTCAAAAAGTTTTCATTGTCGATATGGAGACAAAGAAGGAAAATTTGTTATTTTATATATTTTATGTTCATTATACATTTTAAAGAATCTAAATTTCATTTTACAGAATCCAAACTTCATGACGTTGAAAAAGTGGAGGCGTTAGGTGGACCTTTGATAAATGTTCCATCAATAGAGAAGCCAGTCTTTGATGGACCGTCCCGAGAAGTATCTGTCTTATCTTCTAGACAGGATTTCAAAAGCGTTACATTAAGTCCATCACTCCTTGGCAACACGATGTCAAATGCCTCAACACCCCTCCCTACAAAACCAGCCCTTCATAATCCAAACAGAGGGCGAGACTTTGGTGAGATTTTTTGGTTTTTCAACCGTATTTATTCATATAACTTTTATACATAGAAAGAAAACTGTTTTTTTATTTTAACTTTCAAAGCAATTCCAATTTTTGTTGGGACGATATACATATGTATATACCAAAACATTTTTATAATTGTATATTGTGTTTCTCCTGTTTTCTTTTCTTTGTCTTAATTTTGCCAATAGTGGGTTTTTTTGGCATTGTTTGCAATTCACTAGTGACGCTTTTGCATTGTTATTCCTCCTATCTAATACCTACAGATTATTAGACCATTGTTTCCATACTGAATTGGCTTCAGATTAAAACGCTTACCCAATCAAGACAAGGGATAAAAATGAATGTCACCGGTCGACAGCAAATACTTACTCATCCATAGCACCTGATTCTACTTTCGCCTCTTTGTTCTGCTCTCAATTTGTAATGTTTATTGAACGCTTGAGTACAGTTACCGTTATTTTCATATATTTTTTATATCTAATTTTTTTTATTATCAGCTGTTGAACTTCCGGTTGCACAAAAAATGAAGATAGTAGAGAATTAGTTTGATTTAGAATTCTTGAACTATTTGTTTAGGAATAATCATTTATATCTACAGCTGTATATGACAAATTGCTGCCGTCTTTAACAGTTACAGGTTGGGTTTTTGAAGAAGATCCCGAGACTCAGACCAGAAAATGGGTTCGCACACCAGATGGGGATCCGATTTTTGACGTCTCGCGTGAATAGATAGCTGAAGAGAATACTCCAGAGTTCCATTTATTAAGTTTGCGTAAATGTATTTCTTGTAATGACATATTAAACACCTGTAAAATTACGCTTAAGTGATTTGTTTTCTTTCTTATACAAATGCATACATCTAGTTATTAATATGCAAAATTTTAAATTTAGGGCATTATGGTTAAATGAACGATAGTGTCTTAAATAGTTTGTTACATGTCTATGTTCAACGTTGTTTACTTTTGAATTTCCTTCATAATTTTATACTATTTTTCAATAAATGAACCAATCGACTGGTTTTATCTAAGTAGTAAAAATATGTAAAAACATGTATGTTCATGTTAACCTAATCACATGCTATATCATTGTAAAACTGAAAGTTGGACTAAATTGTTTCATAGGCTATCCCTAACAAAAAAAAAATACCATACATGTAGTTATAGCTGAACACTTCTCGTAAAAGGAATTGTCCGACATATTTCTGGTTCATAGCCGCCATCCCGACAACCCTTATACATGTATACGCTACAGACCTCTTTATGTCGCTGTAGCAGTGTCACGAGTGTAGACGTACATCTTACATTAATTGCTGTGTTACTTGGTTGATCAAATTTTTACGCATTTTTTCCGAGCCAGGAGAAAAGTAACGTCAAATATACAAGTCAATACATTATTTTACAAACGGAAAATGCACTTAGAAACAAGGAATAAATGCATAATTATAATATATAAAATCTAAGACCACGAAAGAAATACTACACGTTGGCCACGATTTTGAAGTGTACAATCGGGTGTAACGAAATCGAAGAGTTTGTGTACCTGTGTGACGGTGTCTATTTATTATCGTTTTACAAACAGCGTGACAGTTTGCTTGATGGGGCGTGCTAAAATTTTGTGTGCTGATTATCATTTTACTCATCGATTGGATGTTTGATTTCAAGTTGAAATCAATACTAATTTGCAACTCAGAATACAATAATACTCTGACAATACTGGCTAATCACATTGAATGAAGGTTTACCAAAACCCGTTTTCTATTCTCAAAAAGCATTATGTCATATTTGTTGTGATTTGAACGGATGGAGTTTTAAATTTAAAGGATGGAATTAGTAAGGCTACTTTAATTTGCTACTGTTGTACTAGCTTTGTCTTGTCCATGTGTAATTGTTGTTTACTGCATACTAGTGAACAATCATTCAACACGATTGGTCAGTATAATCAGTGGTATTGTTGGATTCTGTTTTTCCTATGCTAAGTATTATTGATTCCATTGAAATCAAACATCCAATCGATGTGTAAAATGATAATCAGCACAAAAAGTTTTAGCACGCCCCAACAAGCAAACTGTCACGCTGTTTGTAAAACTATAATATGAGAAGTGTATAGCTTTAACTTAAGTATCAAAGTTTGTACTATCAATAGTAGATCTTAAAGGCGGGTACACACGTTAAGATTTGTATTATACTGCATGTACAAAATCATATTGTGCATACACCCTTAATACAGTGTATCATAAGATTTTTTATAAGACTCGTCCCACGGCTCCATATAGGAGTTCGTCGTTATAAAGAATGGCTCTTAAATTGGTTACATGTTGTAATGGTAACCATATTTTGCCTGGTATGTGGCAACGCACTTTGAAAAAAATTTCAAAGTGCGTTAAAATTGGGACAAAATCAATGCACTTTGAATTTTTTTTTTCAAAGTGCGTTAAATTTTGGACTAAATCAACGCACTTTGAAAAGTGCGTTAAGAGTGTACATCAACATTTTTTACCATGGAGACACTTAACGCACTTTGAAAAAATACGTATAAAACAAAAATTCTGGGCTTAGATTTTAATGATAGACAGCAATAATTTGTTATATTTCTTCCGAAAAACTTATGAATTGATCTACCCTCATCGAGAACGAGGAGAAAACAGGTAGAAAGCCCCTCAGCCCAACTCTCTATCTTTCCTACACAAATATATGTTTTAACATAGCTGGTATGACATTGATATTATTTCTCTCAATAAATTTGAGTTAACGTAAAATAATTTAATTTTGTTTGTATTCTAGCCTCTGATTGGTTAATATCCAAAAAGGAAAACAAATTATTTCTGTATAACCTGGTTTGGTATGGGGACACCCCCCCCCCCCCGACAACCCGCTGAATCATCTGTATCCATACAATCACCATACATCCTTTCATTTCCAGTCCTCGGGATTCAGGGAAAATTCCAGATTTAATAAATGTACCTTTAACTTGAAACAATAATTCGATCTTACCACATGTTAACAAACAACAAGGCTGCTAGGCCTATGTATCAGGTTTTAACTCCCCTCGCTTCCCATCACTTCCGTTACTTCCGTTACTACGGTTGTATTATTGAGCGGCAAATTTGAACTAATTAAAAGCAACGAAATTTTACACCCATAGTTATTTAATCCGCTTCGCAGATTATAAAGCGTATACTGACCCAAACCAGGTTATACTCGAATAATTTTGCCAAGAATTAGAGTCATTCCTAAAATAGATGAAAAAATTGAGATAAGCTTTCCTGAAAAAAAATTACGCACCCTGTTATATTAAAGAAGAGAGCCGCATAACCTTTATTCAAAATGTATCCACAATGATTCCTCAGAAAAAATGTATTTACATGGTAATTAAAACATGCTATTTGACATGTCTAGCGTTTTTATGATATCAAATTACAGATTTAGAAGTAATCTGATGCATAACTTTTTTTGAGAAAAAGGTATTAGTGAACGAGGTAAAAATTTCAGTCGAGTAAGTAATGTGGCTAAGGTTTATTTCCTTACTATCAAATAAATGAGTCAACCATAATTCTAAACGGAATTTAGATTGCTCCCTTTTCCCTAAGAAAAATTCGATGTTTTAAGACATCTACATGAACATCTACCGAACTTATTAGAGACTGGATAAAATTTAAAAAAGAAAAGAAAAAAAAGAAACGAAACTGTGCTATTAAACAATCATTCCTCCATTATTTCTAAGACCCATTTCCCTTTTATAACAGTTACGAGAACCTTTGGAAACAACTCCTAAAAATCTTTAAAACGTCTATATCTCAGATCTTGACATCATCACCGAAAAGTTATCCAACCAGGTTCAAATAACTATTTAATTTTGAATTTAATTTTTGAAGATTCATGAGGACATGAACTACGACGCTTCACGCCGGTACGTTAGCGCTTCATGATAAATATGCCGGCGTGAAGCGTTGTAGTTCATGTACCTCATGAATTTTCAAAAATTAAATTCATTTCTTATATTTACATTATTTTTCTGCTGAGTTGCCACAAATTACGCCATTCAACTGTCATTTTCTAAGCAAAACAGTTTGCACTATAGTTTTGACGTCAAGTACGGTATTATGACGTAACAATGGAGATATTCATGCTCATCTCATGGTAGTTCACGAGAAAATGAACAAGTTTCTAATCTGCAAAGAATCTTAAAGAAAAATACTTGGAAATGTAAATATTAAGATATTAATCATACCTAAAATTTGCAAGAATATTGACCAAGCCGTGCACATTTTTTTTTCAAAGTGCGTTAATATGGTCGATATTAACGCACTTTGAAAAGATTTTTTTTTTCGAAGTGCGTTAACGTGGTCCCAAAATTAACACACTTTGAAATTTTTTTTCAAAGTGCGTAATTTTTCAAAGTGCGTTGTAACACTGGTATGATTTTTTGGTATGAAATTCTTTAGTCAGAGTTATGAGTTTGAAGAAATTATTTGACTATGCCTTCCAGGCTCCATATAGGAGTTCGGCATTACAAATTAAAGAATGACTCTTAAATTGGTTGCACTTCCTTTGTAATACATATAATGAAATGTAAGAAAGTTTGATAAATTAAAAACATTAATAACCTGTGAAATAAATTAATCTGAAAGTGTCACGACCATAGAGAGGATATAATTATATGTAATAAAAAATGAACTTGTACTTTTGAAAAGAAAGCAGGAAAAAAAAATTCTGGTTCTGTACTTAAGGATGTTTTCTTTTTTGTGAAAAAAGAGTATTTGACACAATTAAAAGGGGGCTTCTGATTTGCTGGTAGCAAAACTCTCTTAATTTCTTCCTAGTACAATACTCAGCTCAAGTGTATTTAAGACAATGCTATTTAGCAAACATGTTCAACGCAAAGGAATTGCAAAGTGGTTACCTGATTTAATCTCTGACATTTATAAAATAAATGTACATTTTAAACACTAAGGAATCTTTGAATTGTTGCATTTAATCCTTTCATAAATTATAAAAGTTTTACATTATTAAAGTATATATTGATATTGAATCATTATAATATTTGATATTGGTCGTTCTGACTGAAATTGCGAACTTCAATTCAATGAATTTTTATTATCAACCATTCAAATATTGCGCATCAATTCAGCTCATTATTTGTTTGATTGATTTTATGCTGGTTTTCGTCACATTCGATAATTTTTCACTCATTTATGAAAATGTCATGTACTTTGTATATTTCATAGAAATAGTAATCCCTAAGTACAGATTTCTGCTCAGGAAATTCCGTACCCTCCCGTACCTAAGAACTTGATAGGAACTTAAACACTTTGGAAATACGGGACACATAATAGTGCGATATGAATTGCTTTACTTGTGACAAAACTGCGGATTTCTGCTTCGTTTAAAGGATCGTGAAATATAAACCTCGTCTCTTTTGAATCACAGAAAGTAAACAATGTTTACAATGCGAAATAAATTTGAACTAGCACTTTTTGTGACCTATTTAAGTGTTACTTTGATTCTAACAAAATCAGGAACCGAAAGTTTGGAAGTTAATGGAGTCACTATTGGGTTTAACAGGACATGTTCTGCTAATGTAAGTATTTTTAGAAAGAAGGTATGCATTTAAATAAATGGGGTAATTGTTGCATTATACAATAAACACATGTGGTACGATTTTCAAAGAAAACACTAAAAAAAACTAATGGATATTTTTATGCGATAAATTCATATAAATGATGCATCCATGCTCTATATCTAAAAAGAAATTTATTTAAATCAATGAATCTAAAAAAGGCATTTTTTAGTTCTATACTCGACCACATGTAATAGTTTTTAATGTAAGGTGGAACAACTTTTCCCCGGAAATTTACGTTTGATTAAGTATGTGAATTCAAACATAGAAACATTGATACATCAGCCAGG